TCAAAACACTTGTCACAGTCTCCTACTTCTTGTGTTATGACTGTGCAACTGGAAGGGTTTTTGGCATGGCTATATAAACCCATGCATTTCACAAAGAGAAGCAAGAGGGCCTGATCACAGACAATGAAACCTCTGATTACAGGCTAATTATCAGTGTGGTCTGGTCACTTGCTGACCCCTGTTGCCCCAAGACACCCGTATCAATACACTATACTGCCTTTCAACTTCATGTTTATAGTAGCATACAAAGCATTTCACAAAATAATGGGAAATGAATTTTCTGTGACTTACTGGTGAAGGAGATATTTGGGGGAAAGGAGAAAACTTTTTCCCTGGGACTATCCCCCTAACTTACTAAAGGATAAAATGAAATTGAGAGCAATATAGATTTGGTCTGATCCTGCCACAGGCTGGGGAGGGTGACTAGGCTGAGATAAATAGATAACACCATGTTTCCAGATGCATGTTCAAGGCATTACCTTAGGGAATACCCTGCTATCCACACTTGTCTTTATCAGATAATTTTCAAACACTTTATTTTTTATTGCTTTTACCTTTTGTTGTTGGTGGTGGTGAAAACTCTCAAGTTCTACTCTCTCAGCAAATTTCAATTATATAATATAGTATTATCAATTGTAGTCACCACGTTACACATGAGATACTCAGATCTTATTCATCTTATAATAGTTTGTACCCTTTTGAAAACCTCTTTCTGTTTCTCTCATCCTCCAGCCCCTGGCAACTACCATTCTACTCTGTTTCTAGGAGCTCACCTTTTGTTTGGTTTGGTTTGGTTTTTGATTTCACATATAAGTGATACCATGCAGTATTTGTCTTTCCTTGACTGGCTTAATTCACTTAGTATAGTGCCCACCACCACCTGCCCCAGTCCACCCATATTGTTGCAAATGGCAAGATTTCCTTCTTTTTCAAGGCTGAATACTGTTGTGTAAACACACCACATTTTCTTTATCTATTCATCCATTGATCAACACGTAGATTGTTTCCCTATCTGGTTATTGTGAATAATGATGCAGTGAACCTGGGAATACAGATATCTCTTCAAGATAGTGATTTTGCTTCGTTTGGATATATGCCCAGAAGGGGCATTGCTGGATCAGACAGTAATTCTATTTTTAATTTCTTGAGGAAACTCCATACAATTTCCATAGTGGCTGTATCAGTTTACATTCCCACCAACAGTGTGCAAGTTTTCCTTTACTCCACATCCTTGCCAGCATTCGTTCTGTCTTGTATTTTTGATGATAGACATCCTAACAAGTGTGAGGTGCTATCTTGTGCTTTTGATTCTCATTTCCCTGATGATTACTGATGTTGAACACATTTTCTATTGGTCATTTATATGCCTTCTTTAGAAAAATTTCTATTCAGGTCCTTTGTCCATTTTTCAATTGGGTTGTTTGGTTTTTTGCTATTGAGTTATATGAGTTCCTTATATATTTTAGATATTAACCCCTTATCAAATGCATGATTTGCAAATATTTTCTCTCATTCCATAGTTGTGTTTTCATTTTGTTGTTGGTTTTCCTTGTGTACAGAAGCTTTTAGTTTGATACAGTCCCACTTTTCTATTTTTGCTTTTGTTGCCTATGCTTTTGGTGTCAAATCCAAAAAAAAAAAAAAAAAATCATTGCCAAGACCAGTGTCAAGGAGTTTACTCCCTATGTTTTCTTCTAGGACTTTTATAGTCTCAGGCCTATGTTCAAATCTTTAATCCATTTTGAGTTGATTTTTGTTTATGGCATAAAATAAGGTGCAATTTCATTGTTTTACATGTGGATATCCAGTTTTTGCAGCATCATTTATTGAAGAAACTCTCCTTTCCCCATTGTATATTTTCAGAGCCTTATCAAAAATCAATTGACCATGTTTGCATAGGTTTATTTCTGGGTTCTCTATTCTGTTCCATTGATCTAAATGTCTGTTTTTATGCCAGTACCATACTTTTTTAAGTTTTTAAGTTTTGCTTACTATAGTTTGGTAATATAGTTTGAAAGAAGGAAGTGTGATGCCTATATCTTTGTTTTTCTTTCTCTACATTGTCTTGGCTATTTGGGGTCTCTTGTGATTCCTATGAATTTTAGTATTCATTTTCCTATCTGTGAAAAATAACACTGGAACTTTGATAGGGATTGCTTTGAATCTGTAGTTTTAGGTAGTATGGACATTTAACCATATTAATGTTCCAATCCATGAACATGAATATCTTTCCATTTACATGTGTCTTCTTTGATTTCTTTCACCAATGTTTTGCAGTTTCAGTGTACAGATCTTTCATCTTCTTAAATTTATTCCTAAGTATTTTATTCTTTTTGATGTTATTGTAATAGAATTTTTTTCTTAATTTCTTTTTCCAGATATTTTGTTGTTAGTGTAGAGAAATACAACTGATTTTTGAATATTGATTTTGTATCCCACAACTTTACTGAATTTATTACTTCTAACAGTTTTTGGTGGAATTCTTAGGGTTTTCTGTATCTAATATCAGGTCATCAGCAAACAGACAATTTTACTTCTTCCTCTCTGATTTGGATGCCTTTTATTTCTTTTTCTTCCCTAATTGTTCAGGCTAGGATTTCCATTATTATATTGAATAAAAGTGAGAGTGTGAGGTGAGAGTGTGCATCCTTGTCTTGTTCCTGATCTTAAAGGAAAAACTTCCAGTTTTTCATCATTGAGTATGATATTAGCTATGGGCTTGTCACATGTGGCCTTTATTATGTTGAGGTACATTCCTTCTATACCCATTGTGTTCAAAGTTTTTTTTTTCTTTATCATGAAACAATATTAAGTTTTGTCAAATGTTTTTTCTGCATCTATTGAGGTGACCATGTGGTTTTTTATCCTTTATTTTGTTCATGGGGTATATTACATTTACTGATTTGCATATATTGAACCATCCTTGCAACCCAGGAATAAATCCCACTTGATCATGGTGTACTTTCCTTTGAATGTATTGTTGAATTTGGTTTGCTGCTAATATTTTACCCAGGAGTTTTGCACCTATGTTCATCAGGGACATTGGCCTGTAGTTTTCTTGTGGTGTCCTTGTCTGGCTCAGGTATCAGAGTAATGCTGAACTCGTAAAATGAGTTTGGAAGTGTTCCCTCCTCTTCTCTTTTTTGGAAGAGTTTGAGAAGAATTGGTATCAACTATTATTTAAATGTTTAGTTGAATTCACCAGTGAAGCCAGTGGGTTCTGGACTTTTCTTTGTTGGGAAGTTTTTGATAGCTGATTCAATCTCCTTAGTAGTAACTGCTCTGTTCAGATTTTCTATTTCTTCACAATTTAGTCTTTGTAGCTTGTGTGTTTCTAGGAATTTATCCATTTCTTAAAGGTTATCTACTTGGTTAACATATAATTTTCATAGTAATTTCATATGATTCTTGGTATTTCGGTAGTATCAGTTGCAATGTTTTATCTTTCATTTCTGACATAGTAATTTCATGATTCTTGGTATTTCTGTAGTATCAGTTGCAATGTTTTATCTTTCATTTCTGATATTTTTCTTTTTTTTTTTCTTAGTCTAGCTAAGGGATTGCCTATTTTATTTATCTTTTCAAAAAAATTAGCTCTTTCATTGATCTTTCCCATTGTCTTTCTAGTCTCTTTCATTCATTTCATTTTATTTACTTTCTTCTACAAATCCTGGGTTTAGTTTGTTCTTTTTCTGCTTCCTTGAGGCATAAAATTAGGCTGTTTATTTGAGTTCTGTCTTTTTTCTTAATGTATGCATGCATCACTATAAATTTCCCTCTTCAAACTTCTTTTGCTGCATCCCAGAAGTTTTGGAATGTTGTGTATCCATTTTTATTTGTCCAAAGATATTTTTTTATTTCTCTTTTCATTTCTTGTTTGACCCATTGATTGCTCAGGACTGTGTGTGTAGTTTCCACGTATTTGTGAATTTTCCAGTTTTCCTCTTATAATCACTTTTTAGTTCTATACCATTGTGGTCAGAGGAGATGTTTGATATGATTTCAGTCTTCTTAAATTTCTAAGACTTGCTCTGTGATCTAACATATGATCTATCCTGAAGAATGTTGCATTTGCACTTGCAAAAGAATGTGTATTCTGCTGCTGGTGGATGAAATGTTCTATACATGTCTGTTAGGTCCATCTGGTACCCTCAGGCAGTAGTTTGTGAGGTATGCAGTCAAATCCCTTGCCAGGAAAGACTGGAGACTGGTGTTTTTGCCTGCTCTCTCTGTGCTGAACCCTGAGGGGATAGCTGTGGCAAGTGTTTATGTGCCTTTTAACAAGTGTTTCTTTGTTTGCTATAGTCCTGTGGGACTTGTGAATGTAAGCCCTCTTCACTTTCAGAACTAGATGATATGGGCACCTGTCCCTTGGGTGGTAGCCCACATTGGGACACAAAAAAAATTGTGGTCCAAAACTTTCACTCCTGAGGGAGAAGCTGAGAGTTGGGGATTCCCTCCTGACTGTATGACATTGTGCCAAAGGTAGGGTTTATGGTGAGAGCGTGTCTCAGTCTTTCCTACCTGTTTTAAAGTAGGCATTTCTTGTCATCTGATGTATAGGAGTCCCTCAACTCATTTTTGGATTTCTCTCACAGGGAATTGCTTTGTGTGGCTATACTCAGTGCAATCATGGGGGGAGGAAATTCAGGAGGAGCCTCCTATGTCACCATCTGGTCTGGATCCCCCAGGTTATCTCAAGTACTTTAAAGGAGTAGTTTTCTTGTGGTTTCTTCCTATTTTGAGAATAGGAAGGAGGATGTGAGAAATTATTTCTCACAGATGCAAAATTAATATTGACATATTAGTTTTAGAGGCTATCATATATTGTGTCCTTTAATCCTGATGATTCTCCAGAAGCACAGGTGTTATCATTCCCATTTTAGAGATAAGAAAACTGAGTCCAGGAAGGATAAATGACTTGCCCACATTAGTAAGTCTCAGAACCTAGTTGACAAGTTGGTTAACCTCCTCTGAGGCTCCTATTTTTTCTGCTTTGTTGCCTCTTAATAACAATTAAATCTTGTTAAAATACTTATTTAGCATCCAAATAAAATGTCTTCACAGCCTACACAGGTAAAATGCATCAATTATCCAGGCAACTGGAACAAATAAGACCTATGGTAGGAGAGGAGTTTATAATTATTTAGATAATAAACTGCCTATTTTATCCAATGTATTATAACAACTCTCCATTTCTTCCTTTCTTTTTCAATAAGTCTAAGTACATAATGCTCGAAATACAATTTCTCTCACATTATTTATGGCCTCCTTCCTTCGACGTAGCTTTCTAATTGTAACAGGGTCAGCTTCAATTTGCCATATGGAAACTTAATTGAAAATGAGTGGATAATCCAGTCCACTAAAATGTCAATCCTGTAAGGAGAGAAAAATAGGTCAAGTTAATAATTTAGCCTCATATAAGATTTACTGCCTTTCTTATTTTCTACACATTTATACTACTCTTTTGTGAGTACTGGCTCTGGTTTTGAGAATTGGAAAGATCTTGCCTGTAAAGTGTTCCATAAAGTAAACCACTGAAGAACTCTGAGGCTATCTGCTTTTCTCCTATAAAAAATGTTAATTAAACTTGATAGTATTATTAAAAATGATATTATAATGCATTGTCAAACATAATCCCAACATGTAATAAAAAGTATTAATGAACATAGATGTTTTTGTGAGTTTCTCCCCGTTTTGAGTCACATATGTTGGGCTAGAAAGAATTAAGTCCTATGATTTGCTACTTTAAAGAAGTTATTTCCCAACAGTAGACACCTTAAAAGCAGAAACTGGAGTCCTAGTACCTTGAATGAGCCCCTGCAAGGCCCTGTTCTCGTTCCCTTACACAGACCCCAGTGAGTTTATACACACACACCTCCACATCATCTTCAGGTTTCAAGAAACAGTTTTAAAATTATTAACTAGTCCAATCTATTTTCTTCAGATGAGGAAATGTGCCAAGCATGTCAAAGCCTGAAATCACACAGTTTTCCACAGGCAGAAGCGGTACAGAACACAGGTTTTATGCCTAAACTGCCATGCTTGTGGCTTGCACTGCAGGGTCTCCTTCAACCACTTCCTCTTTAAATGCAGGAAAAGCTCATGTTCAGGGGGCATGCTTTACTTCAGAATTTCCAAAAGTCACTCACTTTGAGGAAAAGTTACAGAATTACTTTCCCTGAAGAAAAAACATGTTAACTAGATACCCATCTGTTCAGGGCCAGAAAGGAGCTATGTACTCTTCAGAACTTGCTTCCTCTCCTATATCACTACCCTCCTCCATCCTATCTGCTATTTACATAGATATAATTTAGTTGAAGCTTTCAAAGAACTTGTTTCACTAAAGAGTCCTATTTATTTTGATTAGGAGATGAATCAACCAAATGTATGACTCATTAAAAAATTCAGCTTCATTAAATTTGCTTATAATAAACTGCATCCATTTAAAGAATAAAATTTGATGAGTTTTGACAGCAATAAACCGGTGAACCACCACCATTATCATGTTACAAAACATATTCATCACCTCCAAAAAATTCCTCAGGCTCTTTTGTAATTTATCCTTCCCTTAGCTCCTAGCTCCAGGCAATGTTTGGTCTGCTCTTTGTCCCTATAGATTAATTTGCATTTTCTAGATTTTTATATACTCTGAAGTCTTTTGTGTCTCAATTTTTCCATCCATGTCGACAGTTCTTTTCTTTTTTCTACTGAGGGGTATTCCATTGTATGGATATGGTATTTGGTTTGTTTATAGTTTAAGGCCATTATTAATAAAGCTTCCCTGAACATTCACATACAAGGATTTATATGGACAAATGTTTCATTACTCTTCTGTAAATATCTAGGGGTTGAATGGTTGTGTGGTAGACATATGCTTACTATTTTAATAAAAAAACTGTCATGTTTTCCAAAGTGGTTTTCCATTTTATACTCTATCAATGATATATGAGCATTCCATCAGCTCCACAACTTTGCCAACACTTGATATTATCAGTCTGATTAATTTTAACAAGTTTAATGGTTATCTGTTAGTATCTTATGGTCTTAATTATTATTTCCTCAATGATTAATGATGTTGAACATTTTTTCCTGTGTTTGTTGGTCATTGTACTTCTTTTTTGAAGCATGTGTTCAAATCTATTATTGAGTTGGTTGTCTTCTTCTTGAGTTATAAGATTTTTTTTTAATAAATTCAGGATACAAGTTCTTTTTTAGGTATATGTTTTGTGAATATTTTCTCCCATTCAGAGTTCTCACCATTTGCACCATGGAAACATTAATGGTCCCTATTTTTGAAGCATATTATGTAAATGGCAAACAAACCAACAAATAAGGTTACACTGTATTATTCCACAATTTAATTTTAAAATATACATTACACACTTATTAGTAGTGATTATCTTCTCTTCATCCCAGGTTGTAAATTATGTACTTCACAGTCTGATTCTTCTTCTCTGAATAATAATACATTACAGTTAATGCACGGGGCCTTTCTTGACAATAATATCCTTGCTATTTTAATGTCTAATTTAACACACACATGCACACACACATAAACACAAGCACACACACACAATGCAGTTCAATGACCCCAAACCATAATTGCCAGTTAAGCGTTTGTCTTATGTAAATGGATCTCTTTTCAAATGTGGAAATACCTGCTTAACAATAGTCTTGTAATTAGCCCACAAAACAGGCATGAACATTTATTAGAAAAACAAAGTGGACTCAGCTCATTTCCAGCCTGAGATGCTGAGCATCAAGGTTGAACTCAGAAGAGCTTTTATAACCAATGGATACAGCCCTGGAAATGGAGTTTCCCACTAGTGATGCCAAGAGACCCTTGAGTACAGAATCAGGCACTGTGGTGATAAACATCTGACATTTTCATTTGCAAGTATTCATGTTTCATTTTAGATAATGTTCCCTCTATTTACTTCTTCAGCAGCAATGCATCAAATATCCTACAGTGTAATCCTTCTCTCAGCACTTATCAATGAACTATGAAATAGTATTAAATAGAATTAATTAGAAGTTTTAATGAATCATGTCTGTCCTCATTTATTATACAATGTAATTTTCAAGGAGTGATTAATTACGAGTTACAGATGAGTGAATGGTTAATGTAGTTTGTTAACCTTACTAAGGAGTGACTGTACACAGCAAGCTGCTTCTCCTCTGTTTATTAGCATGCGGCTTTGTACCATCATCAGTTCAAGTGAATGAAAAGGTTTTAGTGACTTTGCAATTAATATGCACTGTCAGCTAATAATTTATTCCCTTATTTTCTTTCCTGTATATCATATGAACACTGTGAAGATTCAAAAGTAGAATTTAACCACCCTTACTTTGGAGTGTTTCTACAAAGCTATTAGTTTGCCCCTAGCACGTCCACCTGAGCTGCATGATTATTTTAAGAGATCCTATTTAATACAAGGTGGCTCGTTTGAAATGATTCTCCCTGCATATTTCCTTGAAGAATATACCAATTTACCACATCATTACTATCATTATCTAAAAAGTGGTAGCTGGCTGCCCTTCATTTTCAATTTTCTTAGATGCACCTTTCAGAAGCTGAAAAATGCACAAGCTGACAAAAATGCAGTGGTTAAATACAGAATAATTTTGTGGACAGAAAGTAATTGAGAATGGCATATAGGAATGCCAAGAGGTTTTGTTTTTTGGTTTTTAGTTTTGGCTTTTTTAGCCTTCCCAGCAGACACACTCATAAAAGACCATGGCATCCCTGGGGATGAGTCACCATCTCACAACATTCTAGTCTGCTTCTTCTTCAAAGAACTCATTTGCTGTGGTTATATGGAGGTGGAAACCCACTTGGCATGCCCCCACAAACACCTCCGTTTGCTGGCTAAACTGCAGACAGCGAGCAGCTCATTTTGCTGTGCAAAGCAGACGCTAGTGTTTTCTGCTCTGTATCTAGGGGAGTTTGATAGTTCTTTGGAGGCCCAGCTAACCTCAGGAGGAAAAATAACAATACTTATTTATATTTGTGTGATATTTAATGATTTTCATTTTTTCATAAGTATTATCTTATTAAATCTAGGTAAAAATTCCATGAATAAAGAAACTATTATAAGATGTTAGCTGACTTGTCCAGGGCCCCATGAGCAGTGAAAGGATAAACTAAACATTCATAATTCAATAAATATTTACTGAGCACCTAATGTCAGACACCTACTACTTGTTGTTGACTGGATAAGTCTAAGTCTTTTCCATCACGGACCTTAGATACCAGTAGGGGAGACAAGAAATAAATGATTAAAGATAGTGATAAGCCCCGTAAAGAAAATTTGAAAAGGAAAAAGTTCAGAGAGAAACTGGGCATGAGGAAGGTTATTTTAGACAAGGTAGTCAGAGAAAGCCTCCTTGAAGAGATGTGATATCAGAACAAAACTGACTGATGAGGAGTCAGTTAATTGAAGAGAACATTCCAGGCAGAAAGAACAGCAAATCCAAAGGTCCTGAGCCTTTTGGTGTGTTTGAAGAAGTGCAAGAGACCGATGTGGCTGGAGAGAAATGCAGCAATGGAGAAATGAAGCTAGAGAGATACAAAGGGGAGAACTCCTAGTTAGTTCTCCTGGAGGTGCCAGCAAAGACTTGGGATTTAAACTCAAGAGATAATGGGTGTTGAAAGGGCTTTTCCAATCCAATTCTGCCTAGAATTTCTAGGACATGAGAAATGGAAGATAATGTGCTATAACATCAGGTAGCATTTTAGTTTCCATTTCTCATTTTAAGGAAGAGAAGTAGAAAAAAGAGCTTCCCCTGGAGCCTAGGATTTGAAGCTATTAATATAAAAGTATACTGGTAATGTCCTATCTTCATTAGGGGACTCAACTGCCAGACGAGCAATGCTCTTTGAAGTCAAGGACTACTTTTTTTTTTTTTTTAAAGATTTTATTTATTTGACGGAGACAGAGACACAGCGAGAGCAGGAACACAAGCAGGGAGAGTGGGAGAGGGAGAAGCAGGCTCCCCGCTGAGCAGGGAGCCC